GGTCGACCCCAAAAAGGGCTCCCCACTGAGCATCTGGGCATACAGCATGCTGCGGCCTTGGATACCACTTACAATAGGGATCCCGTCTTGAGCAGTTCTTGGTAGCACGCAAGCCTCCACGCAAAGCCCATACCCGAAAATGCCCCACTGGATTTGAAATAAATAGCTGGTGCGGGCTGAAGATATTGTATGGCCTTTTGGTGGCGCTAGTCTTGCATGGAACTGCCACACCTCCTCCTTGAAGCTTAGAGGATGTGCCAACAGATGGCTTTTGTGCCATTGTAGCACGGGCCCCTTGTTGGCCCCAGGGGCCCAAATGAAAACTTGGTTTCCATTTGGTGTCCCTTTCAAGCCAACCAAAAAGGGTTCAACATGTTGAGCACCTTTCTGGATTTCAGTGAAGAGTCGGGAAGGTCTGCAGAAGAGCGAATGCCGGTCTTGCCTTCAACGGGAGTTTGCCACACTTTGTGGCCTAAGACATCGCCTTGGCTTTGGTGTTAGTTGAGTCTCCGCTGTTTTTTGGGGTTTTGCGAGCAACGCACCGAAAATTCAGGTATGGGTATTGGAGGTACAGAGCATATACTGCCCAAAGCCCGTGGCTTTGCTCAGCTTTGCTCCTCTTTGCTTCCCTGGACCTTTAAGGGTCCCTTTTGTCTGCCTATCGCCCCGGTTTTTTGGTGGGGCAAAGGAATTCGGAAATCAGGCCAAAGCCTTTGGGGGTCCGGGAAGCTTCTTTGCGGGACTTTCCAAAGCGGAGCTGATTCCGGATTCCATGTTTAGCTGGCCATGGTTCAAAACCGTTTTGGGATCCCGTTTTGGGCTAGGTGAATTCACCACCCAGTTTACCTATTTTAGTGGTTGGATTGAATCGGATGTTCACCAGGGGTACAGCGTTTTGACCCACAGCCATCTGGGGATTTGGGGGGGCAAACCGGGCTGCGGAAAAAGACACGTGCGGGCGTTCAGTTGGGCCCCTTCAGTTGGACCTTGCATTTCAGGCTTCGGGCGAGGCCGCTCTGTTCTTTCTGTTCTTTTTCTCGGGTTTCACAGGGCCCCGCTTTCGGGTCTGACACCCCGAGAGTTGCAACCAAACACAACTTCTATGATCGCGAGCTCGGTTCAAGGGTACAAAGAGCTCACATGGTTTTCGGTCCTTGGGGCTCAAAATGCTCAAAAAGTTGCAGAGAGCTTGACTTGCTGGTGCGATAAGTAGGGAATCAGGGAATGAACCTGGGGATTCCCTGAAAGGAAACCATAGGGGATGGTTTAAATCGGGGCCATTCCGTTCATTTCAACTGGTGCGAAGAGGTGGCGGGTGCTCAACCATGTTGATTCAGGTGAATTGAACATAGGACGCACGGAGGACACCGCTGATGGAACATGGATTCTCGTTGTTTTGGTAACATCACATGTTGCTGGGGGTCGGCAGTTTTGGCAAACATGTTGTCGAGTGAAAGTGGTAACGCCCTCCTTAAACATGTTGCCGGTGTTCGGCACGACGAAATCGCCCCTTAGGCCTTTTGGAAACAAACCTGAGGGGCGAAAGGGGCCAGAGATTAATGGGAAAAAACACCTTTTAATGAATTGTCCGCGTTAAAACCTGCCAACCTCACTCCCACTGACAGTCACTAGGTCTGACAGAGGGTACCTCTAAGAGGAATCTTATCTTCCAGACGCCCTCCCACAAATGCTATGGTGGGAGGAAGGGTCGATCCTGTTCTCAGGGGCACTCGCTCGAGGTGGCGGATTGCAATGGGCGGCGCGTCGCGGTCTTCGACGGCCAAGGGGAACTGCTGACAGTGCTCAGTGGCAAGCACGTCCCGAGAAAGGTGGAGACAGACTGCGCGCTTTGGCCTGTCTAGTTGTTCCCAACGGTTGGTTGGCTGGCTGGCTGGTTTTGGTTCGTTGGTTCGTTGGTTTTGCTTGGTTTTGCTTGGTTTTGCTTGGTTTTGCTTGGTTTTGCTTGGTTTTGCTTGGTTTTGCTTGGTTTTGCTTGGTTGGTTGGTTGGTTGGCTGGTCGGTTGTTGGTTGGTTCGTTGGTGCGTTGGTTGGTTGGTTCGTGGCTGGCTGGCTGGCTGGCTGGCTGGATTGCTGGGTAGCTTTCTTCAAACTGTTTGTTGCCAGTTTTGTTTTGTTTAACAACAACATTTTGGTTCAGGAGCCCGTAATACTGTAAAGTGTAAGCTTTTCCAGGCAGTCGACTCAGCTGGTGAGATGGGCGGCATTTGGGCCTTGCTCAAACCAGGTCAGCGAAGGTTAGTAGGGGACGGTAGCAGCCCTAAATAGGTCTTTGATTGCTGCGATACCACGTGAATACTCTTTTGAAGTCCTAGAGTAGCAGTGGGGCATTGTGGTATCACAAGGCAAGGCTACCCGCATTCCCCACGAGCATGCGACGCGTGTTATGGGCGCCTGTGCTGCCACACTACGTGTCAGCGAAGGTGAGGGGACACGTCCTCTTGACACAACCCGGGACTTGCTGACTCGTCAGCGCTTACCAGAACAAAGCCCGAAAACGTTTCATTGGCTTAAGAAGCTTGGTGCCCAACTGGCTCCCAGGAATCACCAGCGGGGGTTGGATCATCTAAATGATTGTTGGATGGTGTTCAAAGGGTATCCAACACAAAACCGCGCACACGTTTGTTGGGGTCTTTATTATTTTTCATCTCATGGTTCTTACATGTGAGCCAGAATCGAAAGTATTACGTTTGTTTGGCAAAATCTGAGGTAGCTCAGAGGTTCCATATTTTGTTGAACGGGGTTGCCCCCTTTGGAGAGGGGCTCAACTTTAACTCCAGGTGCGCCAAAACCAACAGGTCTCCCCCCCTCCCCCCTCCCCCCCTCCCCCTTTCCCCCCTGGCCGGCAAGCCGTTTTTTTCCCTTTTGGATGGCGAGGATACCTGAAAAGGTCCCCTGGCCGGTAAACGGTGCCTCTTTTTTTTTTCCGTGTGAGTCGCGCGAGGAGGTGTGCCAAAGGAGCTTCCCCCTGCAGTTCCAGAAGCTCGCGCCGGAGGGCCGCACCCTGGCGGTGAAGCCCAGCTGCCTCCGCACCAAGGAGGACGCGCTCGGCTCGGTGGAGGGGTTGAGGGGGTTGCACGGGTCACCGGGGCAGCAGCTTTACGGTTTTGGTTCAAAGCCAATGGGATCCCATTTTGGGGTAGGTGCACCTCCATTTTAGTCTAGTTTTGTGGGGATTGGGATGTTCACTGGGTGTGCGGGGTTCTGACCCATGGCCTGATGTGTGTTTCTTTTGCAGGGCGGCCCCAACAGAAGTGGTATCCCTTTCTGGCTGGTTTTTGGGGCATCGCAAGCTGAGCAGGGCCTGAAACAGCCGGTTTCCACGCACCGCCAGCCTCGGCTTCCCTTGAACTCAGCACCAAAATCGGCGGCGAGCCTCAAAGAACTGCGACAGAAACCCTCTTGATTTCACTATATAATCTGTTTTTGTTTTTGTTTTTGGGGGTTTGGCAGGCTCCAATACAATGGCAGACGGAAACCCTGTGACCCATGTTGTTGGTCCAGATCCCAAAGCCTAGTGTAGTGGATTCCACTTTTTTTTCTCCAGTTGCCCAAAGCCAACCCTTTCGTCCAATGGACTGGTCCACTCAAACTAGCCCTCAAAGGACAAGCATTTATTTCCAGGTGTTGGCACGTGAGTTTTTGCTTGGCGCTCGCTACTAGAAGTCTTCAACCCTTCTGTTCTACTTGTCGGGTTGGCTAGTGACTAGTGAGGGCCCAAAGCCGTCATTTGTCTTGTTAGCAATATTTCACTGGCAACTTGTTCTGCGGGGTAACGGTTCCCAGTCAAGGTAACACTTCACAAGTATGGTATAGTTGCAAAGCATGCCCGGCCCTGAAATACAAGGGGCTTGATCAATTCCCTGCAGCCCCCAAAACGACGGAAGCGTGTTTTTTGTTGTTGTTTTCTTCAAAGAAAAACAATCACACCAGCCGTGTCTATTTTGAAATGAACTCCTCATTTGAGGTTCTCAGTAACCAACTAGTAAATTCCAAAGAACAAAGACCTCGATCCCAGTGTTTCTTTTGTTGAAATCCCGCCTAGGGGTCCTAGTGCTTTCTTTCTTTACGTCACGCCTGGGCGTGATTTCCAACAACGGAGCCCGCAAGCGTGACTTCAAGTAAAAACACCAGGGCCCGCAAAGCATCGGCGTGAATTCAAAAGAAATCACACATGCGCCCACAGAACAAAAACCAGCACCAACACAGAAACACCCGGACCCCCCAGGCGTGCTTTCAATATATGTGATTCAACAAAACGCACCGCACCCCCAAATGACCACCGGTATTTGGTCATATTTGTTGGAACATATCCCTTGTTTGGGTGGGTTGTTGTCATGTAAAGGACCTTTTGATCAACCCCCTATCTAAGTCGGCAGGGGATGCGTTTTTTCCTCACGCGCAGGACAACGAAGTGGAAACGCTGAGGCGCCGAAAGGCGGGGGCGCTGTGCGTCGAGACTTTTGACGGGATCTAGGGTGGGGTTGATCAAAAGGTCCTTTACGTGGGACCATTAGGGACACCACCAAAACAAATGACAGTTCTCACTGAATGGGAAAAGTTGTCCATGGTCATTTGGGGGGCCGAAGGGAGTATTGGTCAACTATCAACGTCAGAAACTGGCTGGTGGGTCCCTTTAACCCACTTAGGGTGTGACTTTGATACGGGTAGAATAGTGGGGACAGGGGCTTGCCTGTCTCACTTCTCCGCCTTCGGCGATTGAGACTTTTCTCAGGAAGGAAACTAAATGCCCTTCCACCCTCCAAGAAATACTCTTAGAATATTCTTAGATGATCTTAGATGGTGCTCCTGGGTTCTGAGAACCTTACTGAGAGGTAGGTGCAGCCTATTGCCCCCTCATATCTCAAATGCTTTGGGAGTACTTCTGGGTATTAAACCATCCCTAGCTTATCATTCTCCCACGAGGGCAGGGCGATGTTCCATTTTTTCAGACCGCCTACATGCCACATGCTTGCTGCTATGTGGTTTCAGCGCAACTTTCTGCGAGTCTTTTTCCCTTGTGGGTTTTGCAGGGAAGCTGGCACTACTGCTTTATTTAAAAATATGTTCCTTCGGGGTTAAGAAAATGACAAAGCATGCACGCGGGCAAGGTGGAGATGACGCTAAGCTGCAGTGAGTACGGCAGGGCGCGGGGTTTGCTGGTTGCTTTCCTCGGGAAAAGTCACGTTGGCACCCCTCAAAGTGCTTCTACACTTTCAACAGGACCCTTGCGTTCCGCGGTATTGGGGTCAAAACATAGAACCTTCCATTTGTGGTAGGTTGTCTCATGGTGTTGGAGGGAGGTGGTCATGAATAGTAAGCAAACAGGGCACCTCGGTGGAAGCGTTATTTTTCCCCATCGCAAACGACAAAACTCAAACCCACAGACTTCCACAGACTGCCCGGCGGTTGTTGCAAGCGGGTTTGTACCCCAAGCCCCCAATGTGTGTGTGTGTGTGTGTGTGTGTGCGTGTGTTGTGCTTTTTGTTTTGGGTCCACACCGAAGGGGGGGCCTTTTTTTCAGTTCCTTGGGGTAGAAAGAAACCCTGAGGGGTAAAAGGCTTTTAAAACAAAGGCCGTTACATGAACATCCTTTGTTTGACTAGCTGGGGGATGGGGGCCTGGGTGGAATTCCAACTTTACATCGTCAGCAACAAGTCTTTTCCACACCAAGCTAGACTTGCGAAGGCCTCAACGTTAAAGCAGCACATTTCTGCATCATCAATGGAACAATTATGGTCTTCCCGAAACATCCATTCAGCAGGACCTTTTCAAACCCAGCAGAAAACAACGCCAGCCAGGACGAATGTGAGTGGTGTTTCGCCCTGCCAAATTTCACGGCATTTCACGGTCTTTCACTGCAAAAAAAAGGCGTTCACGCCAATTTCACGGTATTTTCACGCTTTTCCCTTTGGCGATTTCCCATTGCTAAGCCCATGATCAGTGTCTTTAGAAATCCCACAAAGTTGAAGACCTTGAGCATTGACCAGCTTCAACATGTCTACATGGTTTTCGCGAGTCTTTGGAAAGCGTACTTTTCAGCCACAAGCACTGCAAAGCCATGTGGCCACTAATGCGGCCAACACAAAACGCTCAACCCAATTAAAAGCGTCCAGCTTGCAAACAAAGGACGTTCCCCACATTTCACGGCCGCTTCCTAAAGGCCTTTCTTTTTAAGGCCCCCGAACCCCAGGGGAAACGCATGTACAACCAAATGGCTCATGACGGGATGAGTTGCGGTTTGGATGGGTGGCTAGGAGATTGGAACCCCTGGTTCTTTCAGAGGGTAAATGGGAAACCACCCCACACAAATCCGCCTGGTGGGAAGCTGACTTGAGGGCACTCGAAACGAAATACGAGTCGAAGCTGAGGACAGTTGGGGCCATTCACAAGAAGCCGGAGCTGGACGGTCAAGTGGGCCTGCTGGGTGCGTTTCAAGGGACTCTTGGCGGCTTCGTTGGGAGGGGAATGTTTGGGGTTGGGGGGGTGGTATTGTTTGCACGGGGGGCGGGGGCATTTCATTTTGCAACCACTTGCTTCTAGGGCATAGGGTTCTTTGGGCTCGGATTTGCAAAATAGACCCCAAGTGTGCATGGTACACGGGGGGTGGGGTGCTTCGCCCATTTGTGTACTGGTGATTGGCCTGGACTCCAGTGGGTCACTTCCTTTTGTTCATTTTTTGTGAGGCCCAAAGTTGTTTGAGCTTCTTACTCACTTCACCCCCTGAAGGGAACCTACTTCTGCATCTTATTGCAACTACCAAAAAACAGCCCGTTTTTCCTCGTCCGTTGGAGGACTGGGTTGGTTCATGCTGACTGCTCGTTTGCTCATTCGTTGGTTTGTGGTTAAATTGCTCATCACTGGAAGCCAGCTTGGCTATGTTACCGCAAGTCAATGAGCAACGGACCAACCGAGAGCTGTCCAATCAGTGAATCTGGTGCAGGGTGAGTTGATGCGCTTTACACTTCCTGTTGACTGAAAGTGAAGCAACTACCAGATCGCATGACAGGCTGAAAGAAATCCTATCTTTCATCATGGTGCATTTGTCCGCTGAGCTTTTGTTCGAGCAAAGTGGCTCAAATCAGAATGCGCTCTTGTAACAGTTGTCTCTCAAAGCTGGTCCTTCTGGGAAGAGGTACAATGATGTGTGTACATGCCTGGTCCGACCTTTTTAATGTTGCTCTTGCGCTCAACGGAAGCATCCTGTTCAATTGAGGGGCAAGGCTCAAGAAAGAAGGCACAAGCACGTCCCAAAAGTGAGCAGATATCGATAAGCAAGGATGAGTCCTCATCTTTCCTGACACAAACAAGGAGCGGATCGACCCCCAATTTTTGCTCTGAGAGTTTTCTTCATTTCTTGGATCCAACTCGTTCTTTGCACGGTTTCCTCTCGCCAACGAAAGCCGCGGCTTGAGCCTGGCCTGGAGGTACGCCAACTGCTGGGAGGTGATGCCAGACGCCAAGGCCTTGTGGGACGTGAAGGCCTGGAAAGGTCGACGTTTGTGGAGGGTTGCGACATCCGCTTCGCAGCCTCAGTTGCCCAAAGCGAATCGACCTTTTAACCTTTTGGTGTTCCAATTTTGGTCTTTCTTTAGTAAAGGCCCCAAAAGGTTAACCTTTTATTGCTGGGTCCTTTGGGGGACTGAGCACCACCTAAGAAGCCCCGAGTTGCCAAGCTGGCTCCATGGTGTGGAGGAAGCATTCCGAGAGCTCATGGCAGGTATTTGCAGCGCATGAGAATGGCAGGAAGCGCGCTGTTGATTCGCCTGCAAATACCGACCAATGGTTTCTGTGATTAGCCATGCATTTCAGGTGACTACCGGCATGTTGCGATAGCAACTATCCGGTGCCACTTTGGCTCAAGTTACGGGTTCCGTCGCGCCTCGAATGGGCGTCGCCGAACCCCTGCGTCGACCGACGGCATCTCGGGGGAGAAAGAGACCTCGGGCCGCCGCCAGGTTGGTAGGGACCAGTCGTGCGGCCTGTTGTCGATCAAGGTTGCGGGTTAACCCTTTTCTTGTTTGGTTTGTTTCCCTTTGGTTGTTGTTCTCTGGTGTGTGGGAAACCCTGATCTTTGGGACCGGGGATTGGTTTGCTTTTGGGGAACCTTTCTTTTGTGGCTTGTTTACCCCAACTAACCCATTGCCTGGGCACAGGCTCGTGCCCGAATCACAGGTTATCAGCCGTAGGACTTTCCTACGCGCTTGAGACCATCAACTACAAGTTCAATGACGTCGACCCCACGATCTCGAAGGAGCGTCGTGGATGAGGAGGCCATCCTAGGTGGCCTTCGCTCAGGTGAGGACCTACCGGACTTCGACTACGAGGATTTCGAAGCAGGTTCGACAGGTCAGGACCGCAGGGGTGAAGATCCCGGTACGGACACACCCAGAAGCCGTGGCAGGTACACCGACGATGGAGACGATTGCATTTTCCGTCAGGCCACTGATGATGAGCAAGCACAAAGAGCTCGCCCCGATAGGAGCGGCTCTGAGTCAGGTCTCAGGCACGGACAGTTCGACTTCATCAGCATGGCGATGAACATGGCCCGCCCCCATTCGGACGACCCGGAGGCCATGCCGACCCGACCCCCAAGATCTCTTGTTCCAGGTGAATCGCAGGTCTCGGACCGCGAGGACCAGGAACCATGGTTCTGGCTCCGAGAGATATCTCGGGTCGGTCAACCGGTTCTCAAAATCCAGGTCAGTTTGATGAGCATGAGGAGAGGAAATTCACAGGCTTCGGATACGATGATCTGTTGAAATCAACCGCAGGCTGGGGTGGTAGCGCAAAGCAGGAGTCTGATGCCGATAGGCCCAACCCTGTGGCTGCCAAGTTTGAGTTTGACAATGGTGAAGATTACAATTTTGCGGATGAGGAGGAGGACCAGTCACGCCGAAATGCAAGGAGCCGTGCTGCTGCAAGGCCCAGGAGCCTCTCTCGTGGAGCCGCTAAAGACCTTCGTGTTGACAGGGACGCCCGGAGCGAGAGAGAGAGAGAGCCAGGGATAGCCGGGAAGTTCTTCGGGGATTGGAGGCCATCCATGACCGGGAGGGACCGATAGGTCCTCTTGTGGTTGATAATACCCCGAATGTTCCCCCTTTTCCCAACATTACATTTGGAGGTCCGTTGCATCAGAGAGACGAGAACTCGAACCGGGTTACTGGTTCGCCGAGGATCACTGAACGGGCTGCCGATGTCGTTGGGACGGGTGCAAGAGATGGTCGGCTTGCCGATGCACTTGGAATCGAGGATCGTCCGTCGATCGCTAGCCCGTTAGGGCGAGATCACAGTGACCTCGAAGCGCTAAGGTCTAGCAACGAGTGCACACCTCCATGGGGATCGACCGCCAGGGAACGTAGTGCTTCTGCAAAGAGGCCGTCACCCCTGGCCATTGAGACCGATAGGTCGAAGGCGAGGAGGGCTAGCCCTTCACCGTTAGGTTCAACTCAGCAGGATGAGGAAATGTTCGATCCTGCTGACGTTCATATCCACTCTACTCCTGAGTCTCGTGCATCCAATATTGATCCCCGATCTGGCGATAGCCGGAGAAGGGGATCTACCCCGAGTAGGCCATCCAGGATTGATGATAGTCCTGCAGGCGATCCCAGAAGATATGCTAGAGCTAGTGGGGCTCCTGAGAGGATCGAGATACCGACTCCTCCAGCCCACAGGTTTTATTATTCCGGTGAGTCAGGTGACGCTAGGGCAAAGGAGGTGTTTGATCTGCACATCCAGGAGATGCTCGAGAGGGGTGAGGTGTCTGGTTCAGTCGCGAAAGCGTTCCATATCTTTGCTGACCAAATCAGGTTACTGAACGGTCAGGTGGGTTCCATGCGAAAGGATTGGAGCGACGAGAATCAGCAGACGAAGGACAGGGTCAGTCGTTTGGCCACTGAGATTGCGACTCAATCTGATGCCGGTAGGATGCGAATGATAGTTCAGCGGTTTGCCAGCGAGATTGTCCCTGACAGCAGGGCTATTGTGAGGCAAGCCATCGATGAACAGGCTGAGATTGTGGATCAGAGGATCAACTTGCTTTCCCACGAAGTTCATGAATCCGTTAAGGACAATGAAATCGCAACTAGCCAGCTTCGTCAGGTCATTCAGGAGAACCATCAGGCCACTCGCAGGAGCCATGCTGCTTCCGAGGATGAGATGCTCAAGGACTTGGAGAAGCTAGAGGGGCGGATGTTCTCGGTAGAGAAAACCGTTGGGATGAGGACGCCGGCAGGTGACCTTGCTGCGCAATTGCCCGATAGGGCTGCCAGCAGTAGGGCGAACGCGAATTTCAGGGAACTAAACCTGAAGCTCGAGAAGATCCTTATTGAACACGAGAGGTTTGCAAAGTGGGTCTCCGAATGTATTGGTGGTATCAATGAAGAACAAGTTAGTCTTGCTGAGCGAATATCGAGGCTGCAAAGCGGAAGGGGTTCCCAGGCGGTCGATAGACCCTCAGGGCCTGATTCCCCGCAAGACTGGCATGAAGCAATTGACGAGGTCCATCGGAAGATCCAGGATCTATCTCGCGGAGTTCAACGTCAACGTCGGGATCATGACGATGTCACTGCGAGGTTTGAGACCGTGAAGTCCCATGTTGAGCAGTACGAGGCGAGATCGGGGATTCTGAATCAAGTTCTTGATGATATCAGAAGGCAGATTCGTAATCTCCCAGCGAGTAGTGATCAAGCACGGTCCGCCGTTAGGCGTGAACTCGATTCATTTCGAAGCACGCTGGAAGGCGCAATGCGGAGAATTACCACAGTCGAGAGTAACATGCGTACTCTGAATGGAATGAACAACAGAATCATGGCTCAGCTTTCTGATATTGAAGGTCATGTCGATGAGGCTGCTGACATAATTCAGGGTGTCCAGCAGAAATAGCAGAGCCCTCAAGGACTCAGAGAGAGGCGGAATATTGGGTACAACGCCTTTGCTGGACAGGGTCATAGGATCAGATCACCGACGCCCACTCCTGGAGAAGGAAACGGTAGGGGTACTGGCCTTCCGACAAGGACGGGTGGGGGTGTTGGCTTGACTGACCATGCTCTGCCGACTGTGCCCGATAGGGTCGATCCTTCTCGTGCAGATCCCGATAGGGAAAGGGCTGACAGCAGAAGTAGAAGAGCCCGGGGACTGCCTGACAGGTCACACTCCCCGCCAGGGCGCTCACGGGATGGCCCCCGCGCGCGTGCAAGGGGGGACGTTTCAGTTTCCCCAAACAGCGGCAATCGAGGGGGGAAAGGACGACCCGCGATAGCGGGAGCATTTCTCCAAACCCAGACAGGCCGGTCCGCGATAGCGGGAGCGTCTCTCCGAACCCTAACCGTAACCCTGGAGGTGGTAGGGTAAGCAGGGCCCATGCCGACACCCAGAGTCCCGGCGATAGCTGGAGGACTCCTGGGAGCAGAGCTCATGCCGATATCCAGAGTCCCGGTGATAGCAGGAGTTGTGGGACCCCATCCGATCGTGGACGGGTCTCGGCACCGGCTGCGAGAGGTACGCCAGGCACCGGCGGCCGAAGTGCGCCAAAGATCTGTGCTCTCGACAATCCAAATGATCGTAGGCACCCCGACGCTGAATTCACGTGTGCTACATGCAGTCGTGAGTTTTGCAGGCTGTGCGAGGGTGAGGATGGAGATTGTTGCAATTGTCACTTCCTGAAGATTAAGTGTTGGGCATGTCGCAAAAATGCCCAGGAGGTTTCAATGTATCTCTGCTCGGATTGCGGGAATTCAGTATGTGAGGATCACATTCTTTTTGGTAGCGACGGCCTTGAGCGATGTGCACGATGCAATACGCGGCGTGAGCGGGCTGCTGGACCGCCCCCTCCTCCTCCTCCCGGGGGAGGAGGTGGGCAAGGTGGACCATCCGGCCAAGGCGGAGGTGGTGGTCATGGACCTGCTCCATTTCCTGGGCATCCAGGACCTGGACATCCAGGCGGGGGTCAAGGTCCCTGGCGGCCCGAGTGCCTACCGGGGGATACCCTGGTGGAGCGCCCGGTCTACGGCACTGCTGCTGACTCTCAAGGAGCTGAGAACAACCAATGCAGATCGAGTTTCTATGGTCCAGCTTATGGAGGTGGTGTCTACAATCAGGGCATTGGTGCTGGCGTTAGTCAGCCTACCGTTGCTCCAGGCTACCCTGCAAGCATCGGGCATGCCAGTAATCCTGGAGCGAGTCCATGCCAAGGCTACAGTGTTAGTGGTGCCGGTAGGCCAGGGGATGGTGGTCTTCTTCCTGAAGCAATCAGAGGAGACGATGGGCGAGACAAGTGCACCAAGTGTGGCATTAGGGTCCCTGTTACCGGCCCTCCTCTTGTCCCATGCGTTGGTTGCGGAATGAGGGCTTGCGATGTGTGCTGTCCGTTTCCGGCTAGGCTGTGTGAGAGCTGCAGGATCACGTCTCTCGGCTTCCCCAGCCTCCGCTTGCGTGGCCACAGCATGGGGATCAAGAGCGCTGCCTCGGCAGGCAACGACTTC